CCAGTTGTTGCTAAAACTTTATGGCAATTTGAAACATACTTTGAAGAGTGGGTGAGAACTGAAATGACTTGCAAATATTGTTACGGTCCTAGTTCTAGGATGAGTATTGGAATGTAGCGTAACAATGCTAGCTAAGGTGTGAGTTCTGCTCCTGTGTTGTGCCACTTGCTTTACCTGCAGTGGAGAACCGTAATCAAACACAGTATGGGTTGCCTTCTTGAGCGGTTGTCTGGAACACTTGACTTAATAGCTACCCAGAAACATCATTGGATTTCAAGTCATAAGAGTAACAAAGCAAATGGCCCAAATATTTGACTCTTCTGCTTCTGAAGTATGTTATAAGTGGCCTAAGATATTGTGGGATTCTTTACAGTTTGCCTGGTTGTGTTCTTGGCAGTGGTGTGGGTTTTCAGGGAAAACAGCCTGATTCCAATTTAAACAAATATGTTAACAATTTGCTCATAATGCTAGCAAAATAAGGCAAGTAAACCATGTACAAGCCTGGACCGTGTACAAACACTGAAGTTTGCCCATACCTCATATCCCACATTTAGCCCATTTAACATGATTGACTTGTAGCACAACAACCCTGACAATTATAGGTAAACTACTGTATATAAATTACAGCATCAGAAAATTTCTGCCCCACATCACTGGTTGCTGGTCCTTCCGCATATTCTGTGCTTTTGTTGCACAGCTTTGCTATAGCAGCCATATCATGTTCCTGATTTTTTTTTTCCTGTTCCCCACAAGAACATTTATGAATTGGGCTACCTTATGATCCAATGTTGTGGGCAGGGAACCCAGTGGATCTAATACCATTTTTTTAGGCCTGAATGCTGAAAAGGCAATGTCACTTCTGTGTTCTTTAGTTGCATGACATTTAGCCATGTACAAAGCTGAAGTATAGGGCATAGATTCTAAAATACTTCTCCTCCCCTTCTCATTTTTATTCCCAATCTTACCTTCAGTCATTAGAAACTTGTCATTTTTTGTTGTTGTCAAGTCACAGCTGACTTACTGTGACCTTGTGGGGTTTCCCAGGCAAGAGACATTCAAAGGTGGCTTGCCATTGCCTGACTCAGCATATCGACCCTGGATTTCCTTGGAGGTTTCTCATCCAAATGTTAACCAGGACTGACCCTGCTTAGCTTCTGTGATCTGATCAGATCAGGCTAGCCTGGGCTGTCCGGGTCAGAGAACTTATCCTAGTGTAACCTAAACCTTGGGAACAAAAACCTTAGGTGGTAGAAATGAGGTGTGATCAAGTAGGAGGACTGAGGGGAATGGAACAAAAAGAGGATTTGTGTCATATGGATGTATTCCTATTTATGTGAAGGAAGTCTTACTGCTTGGCTGCTTCTTTCTGATCTAGAGAATCTCTGGTTACCACCATTTCAGTAAATTAAAAAAAAAACCCACCAAAACCCTGGCATGGAGCTTCATAGTGCAACAACAGGTGGAATGGCATTGTTTTTGGCTAGGATTATCAAACACAAAGAAGACTAACCTGAAGGACTTGGAGCTGATTTGTTTGTGTGTGTGGTAAAGCTAAGCTGAGCAAGGACAGATAGGAACTGTTAGTCTTTCACAGATGATAATATGAGGGGCTGACACTGGTAGCCAAGGGAGCCCCTGAGCATTTTTGTGTCTGTCTCTAGATGTTGAAAGTATAGGAGCTTCATGCGTGAAGGAAGGATGTAAGAGTCCCTGATGAGTCCAACCCGTAATGTCCCACACCCAAGCTGTTTAACAGTGCAATCCTAAACAGAGTTCTATAATCTACTAAACTACACTGAAGTCATTGGATTTAGAAGGGTGTGATTCTGTTTAGGATCGCACTTTTAAAGTTTCTAAAAGAGTTTGTACCAGTTTAATCTTAAACCAGTAATATATACTGTGTTTCCTCTGTGTAGGCTTGTCTGTTTCATTGTTTACGTGAGATGAGACATGATGATCCATGCTTACGATTCATGCTTGGGGCATGCCCTAACGTGAGGATGTTTTACACAGTGTGGCTGCTACCCAAGTGTAATGAAAGAGGACACACATAAAGCTGTCTTAGACTGAATCAGACCTTTGGTTCATCGAAGGTTAGTATTTGCTATTCAGAGTGGCAGCAGCTCTGTAGGGCTTCAAGGCAGAGGTCTTTCACATCACCCACTACCTGATCCTTTTTAACTGTAGAAGCCAGGGATTGAACCTGGGACCTTCTGTGTGCCAAGCACAGATACTCTACGGCTGAGCCATGGCCCCTCCCCGTGGAGAGAATGAGATGGCCACAAACGGTTGATATCTGTTTGTTGGAAGATTTGAGATGCTTGGCTCAGCTGTAGACTTGTACCAAAAATGTTTGGTGCATTATTTTGAATAGATTAACAAGGCAGACACGACCAGCAGAGATTTATAGAGATGCTATCCAGTTCCGAACATTCCTAACAAAGAAGGAGAAGACTCCCTTCAATGCAATAAAAGGGAAGGGTTACTGTTATCTGTGCAGCTGTATCCTTCAGGGCCTTGCAGCCTTTTCACAGCACAAAGATCTATGCCTCTTGATTATTTCATAGCAACAGGTGTTCTTGGCTCAACACAGCACAAGTCTCATGCTGCCTCTTCAATTATGCCTCTTCTCCTGGGCTGGCAGCTACTTCTGAGATCAGCCTCCTCCCCTGCTGTGTCTAATCTTAGCAATTTGTTTTATACAGTGGACATGTCTAACCTGATCAAATTAGGATTTTTTAATTAAAAAATAGGCTGAATAATTATTTGTGCAGCTAAAGGCAGGGTTTTCATTGGAAGCTCTGAGGGTCTTACAGCATCTCCTAAGGATGGTATCATAAGACCCAAGTCATCTGTGGGACTCTTGTACCTTCTGAAATAGCTCCACAGGAGGACAAAATAGCTTTAGTTTTCCAGGGCTATTAATGTGAGATGCTGTGCCTCACAGAGCCATCCCTTCTATGCGGCTCTTGGACTGAGACTGGCCCGGGAAGAGCTCCCAATCACTAGATGTACTGGTAAGAATGTAAGGACAGCCAGCAGCTTCTGGTTTAACTGGTAACAAGGGTAACGTGTAACTACAAGGATACATCCACACTGAGGCCTCTTAGCAGTTGTGGGCTTTAAGCGAGTGTTGGTTCTCTGTTCCTAAACACACCCTTCATAGTAGTCTGTAAGAGGCTCTTCTCAGCCAGTTGCAAATGGAAAGGAAAATTCCAGATGCACAGCTCTGCATAGCTGAGCAATATGGGAGAGTTTCAGATTAGTGCACAGTGTGTATGAGCAGTTAAGGGTAAGTTTGTACTTGATGTGACACCTTCTCTTCTACTCCCTGCCCTTTTATCTGCTTGGAAAATCCATTGCTTATATACATGCCCTTGGAAAACATCCACTTTCAGATTGCTTGAAGTTTCTCTTCTAGCTGTTGGGGGGTGTTGGAGACAATCAATTGCATGGGAGGCAACAGTGTTTCATATGCCATTGTGTAAATATGAGAGAGGGTGGGAGAGATCTGATTTGTTTCAGTAATTAGGGCATGTGAGCTATTTTGGGCTTGATGTCTTCAGAGGAAATGAAGGTACAGCATTAAGGCCTTAAAATATGGGCAAGGAAGGAAGATATTTTAAATGAGTAAGTGCAGAAATCCAGTTTCCTGTTGCTGTACAGTTATGAAGCTCAGTGGATGGCTCCTGGCAAACTTCTTATCTCAGTGGAAGCTACTTTGCAGGGTGGCCTTGAGTGGAGGGGAAAATCCAGTCTTGAGCTGTTTCTTGTGCAATTTGTGCTTGACGGACATATGAATGTGTTTTTAATCTAGTAAATCTGTACATTCAGAATGCATCTGAAGGTCACCCTGACTCAGCTCCTGCTCCTGTTTTGCTACTTGTGCAGCTCTAGCGGGTTCCATCCACAACCCAGAAGTAACCTCAGAAGCTCTAGGGCTTGTGGGAGGCTCCTACTCTGTGGCTCTTGGTATTCTAGTGTTGCCAGAGAAGCTTCCAGTAGTGCTTTTATGGTGCAGGAAGAAGCTGTGGCTGTGCTGCTGCAGCTCCCACACTACAAAGGGAAGAAGCTCAAGCTCCCCCTTTTTACACTATGGCTCAGCAAACAGGGTTTTGTGACAAGTGTATTGCGGCAGCAGGCAGAGATGTGGAAGTGGTTACCTGTCAACTGCACACCTGAAAGCAAGACTTGCTGAAATCAGTGGGACCTAGCTTCCAAATGAAAATGCACCTGTGTGAGTCTTGGGTTTCCAGACCTTTTGCTGCTTCTTTTTTTGTGGTTTATTTTAATGACGTGATTGTCCCAGGAGAATAGACACTCCAGGCTGGGGTCAGGCAAGCCCTGAGTTCTGAGGCTGTAATGTCTCCAAGGTGTAACATGCTGCTTATGTGCTCACTCCAGCAAAGCAGTGCATAGTGCTCGAACACCTTCCACGAATAAAGCAAACAGGGGTAGAGTTAAATGAGTAATGTTTTAATATTAACCTTTAGCACATTGCTTAAGCTAAAAATAAACTTTCAGCTGTTGTCTCCTAGCTCTTTCCACAGCCTGCATACTATTATCATTGTCTTCAGAAGAATGTCTTCATTAGCAAAGTTTTCAGTTGCATACCATTATGTAGTTAGCGAGATACCAAAGGCACAAAAAGGGTAGATGTTCAGCTTTACTTTAGAAAATACTGGCCTGTGTTTTCTGATCAAGATGGACACCCAGCAAGTTCCCTTTCTCCCCCCACACCAGACCACCTTCTCTTCCCCCCTCCCTCTTCAGCTGCCATGAAAACTGAGCTGACTTTGGGAGCCTGGCAGTCACTGTGTCTACTATGAATTTAAGTTATGTAGTAATTGGATATAAGGAAGAGTTCTTGGATAGACCCTCTTGTTCCAGAAGGTGATGGTCTCATTTAGACGTGTACAGGACAACTTTGCCTTTGTTCTGCGGATGGGGCTTTGGGAGTGAAGTCTTCAATCTTTTTTCCCCCTTTGTTTTCTTTCTAGTTCTTCCACCAGTGCTTGTTCCAAGACACAGCGAGTACAACCCTCAGCACAGTCTCCTGGCTCAGTTTCGCAACTTGGGGCAAAATGAACCTCACATGCCACACAATGCGACTTTTCCAGATTCCTTCCAGCAACCCAACAGTCACCCATTCCCTCACTCACCAAACAGCAGCTACCCAAATTCCCCTGGAAGCAGTAGTGGCACCTATCCTCACTCACCTGCCAGTTCGGACCCAGGAAGTCCCTTTCAGATGCCAGGTAAGAGAGGTCGAGGCCCAGGCAGCCTGTTTGGGCCAGATTCAAAAGCTTGAGGCAGCAGCTGGAAAAGTTGATAATTATTTTGTTAGCATGTGTTCCAGTGATTGAATTTGGGTCTTTAAAGGCTTTTTGTGGTGTTGAAATATAACCACACTTTGCATCAGTATTGGAAACAAAAGCTTTTTACTATGGGATCTTTGGAATGATAGTGTAATGCCTGCAGTGTTTTGCCCAGTAAACATTTGGAGTTGTGTGTTAAAGGTTTTATTGCCAATGCTGTTTCAAGCTCTGATAGAATTCAGGGGGGGGGGGGGGGACTCTATCCCACTGAAAACCACAAACATGAAAAGCAAACTTTCTGCATATACCCCTTTTTCTGGGCCTTCACATTTCTAGCCTCTGAACAAGTTTAATGTATCCCGGAGCAAAAGTCTGGTTGAAAGACTACTGTGTGATAGAGTGACCTCCCATCTCTGGCCCCAGCTCCTGCCAACCTAGCAGTTCGAAAGCAAGAAATTGCAAGTAGATAAATAGGTACCGCTTCAGTGGGAAAGTAACAGCGTTCCGTGCACCTCGGCGTTTAGTCATGCCGGCCACAGGACCACAGAAACATCTTCGGACAGCATTGGCTCTTTGGCTTGGAAACAGAGATGAGCACCACATCCCTAGAGTCGGATTTGACTGGCTTTTGAGCAGGGGAAACCTTTACCTTTACAATGGTGAACTAGGATGAAGAGGCTGCTTTTGAAAGCATAGAGAGATGGGGCGTTTTCTTGGCTACAGTGTAGCCAAGCTGTTCCATGCATAATCAAAACCGGCTTCTCTAATTGTGTCTCATGTATGATGGGAAACCAGTTACATATGCTGGAACATTGGGAACAGTATGCTGCTGGCCATCCTTAGAAAGTAGACCATCAAGTTCCAGAGTCATGAGGGCATTCCCGTGTAGAGTGTGTTACAGGCTGACCCCGTAACTGAAGTCCTAAGTGATGGTTGCTGGATCATAACTTGAAGGGGGATATACTTCTTTCCTCCTGCTGTTCCTGTTGCATTTAAGAATAGTACTTTAATTCAGGAAGTCCCAGAAACTGAATCTGAGGACAAAAGGAAGATTATTGTCATCCATAAAAATTGTACAGTAGTGTGTTGGTTCAGGAAGGAGTCCTGGCTCTGTTTGTCAGGACGTAAGACACTGACTTTGTTCTAAGTTAGAAAAGCATTCAAGAGGGCAAGAATAACATGATAGTCATGAGCATATAGACTAATTCAATTCACCATTTCATTTAATGTGAATATACAAAGCAAAGGCTGAAGTCATTTCTCTGTGTGCATTCTCAGCGGATACACCCCCTCCTGCTTACCTGCCTCCAGAAGATCAGATGACGCAGGATGGTTCACAGCCAATGGACACCAATATGATGGCACCTTCGATTCCTCCAGAAGTAAACAGAGGAGGTAAAATTGTTCATTCTGATAGGAATTGTTCATACTTCTTGCATGGTATTAAATGCATCCAAATGGCATCATTTCAGCGGAGACTTTAAAAGTGATACCTACAGAACAAATCAGGGATTTGGACACTGGCATTCAGAGGGTGTCCTGTCTCTGTCCTCACGCTTGTTCAGAAGGCTTAGATATGCAGCCACCTAGATAATTTAGCTGTTGTTGAACTGAATTTGTACTGTCAAAGTGTGTGACAGCACAAAGGCAGATCATAACATCAGTAATGTAACCTATTCTTCTTTTGAACTGGGATTGCAGTTGATACACAATGATAAACACAATCTTTTGGTGGTTTTGCTGATCTCTTTGCTGGAGGTAGTCCTTGCAGCTGATGAAAGCAGAAAGCAAATTTATGAATGTTTACGCTTATCTCTGCAGATTCCTGCATGTCTTTTGTTTTTGCAAACGCACTGTGTCTTTGTCCTGGAAGTTCTGTATGGCATAGATGTATACTTAGAGCTAAAAGGGACACCTTCTTTTAATGCATCACTGTTTAAGGATTCTTCTGGGTGCAACAAATTGGGGTGTGGGGAAGTATGCATTTAATGGTGTCCTCCGTGTTGGGTTACTCTTGAATTTGCTCCAGGTTGCATAGGCTGACTATGGGTATATACTACCATGACCATCAATCTCCCAGTGCAATGCCATGCTGTGTTCTATATCAACTGGACCACAGTCACAACAGACACATCTGAAAGCAAGGGTGCCAGATCTTGAATAACCCAAGGGAAGGGCTGTAGCTTGGGGGCAGAGTATCTGCTTTGCATATAGAAGGTCCAAGATCCAGTCTTTAGCTAAAAAGTTGAGGTTGTAGGTGATGTGAAAGACCTCAGCCTGAGACCTTAAGAGAGCCACTGACAATCAGGTGATACTTAACCCTGGTAGACCAATGGTCTGACTAGACATAAGGCAGATGCATGTGTTCAGCGAGGCTTCTGTTACTTTACAAGTTGTGTTGTTACTGGGCATATCAGTGCTTGCAGTATTTACCCACCTCTGTGCTTGCAATGGCAGCCTCCTTGGTCTCTCCTCCCCCCCCCCCCCAATTAGATTTTATGTTGGGTATTTCAACTGGAGGCAAGGCATAGATTGTGTGCAGGGCACTTGATTGGAATTATGATTACAGGAGTGGGGAAAGATGTAACAGTTTGCCAGTCACTGTGCAACAGTAAACATGTAACATTAAACGTGACGGAAGCTCCATCTGGATCTGGAGCAGAGGTCCATCAGTGGCTATTAGCCATAAGGTATAGATAGGGACTCTGGGGCAAGTGATGCTCTGTCATCTTGGTGCTTGGGGGGGTCAACAGTGGGATGGCTTCTAATGTCCTGGCCCCACTGGTGGACCTCCTGATGGCACCTGGTATTTCTGGCCACTGTGTGATACAGAGTGTTGGACTGGATGGGCCTTTGGCCTGATCCAACATTGGCATCTCTTATGTTCTTATGTTCTTATGTTCTTATCTGATAACTCTTAAGTATCTAATTCTTTTCCCTTCTTCAGTTTAATTTTAATACTCTGCCTCTCTAGTAAAAAGAAGACTAACATATGTTTATTTCCTTACATTCATATTGTTTACCCACACCTGTTTCCCTTAATTCTGTGAGCTCATTTTTCTGCTCTACCTCTCTACCTGTTATGTACGGTCATATCCTTTGTTTAATAGCCATCCCCCAAGGTCTGCTGCAGTTCACGTTGAGGAAGGGCACGGGGAGTTGGTGCAGGCTCAAACGCTCTGCTGCAGACCTTTAAGAGGCCTGTTCTTTGTGGAGATTTGTTAGTCTTAAGAGATTTGACTTAACAAGCTGCATCCTGTCAGTGAAGTTGGGTAACTCCTATTGTTGGCTCCTGCTGGGAATGGAGAGACGAAACGCACCTGCTCGGCATGACTTAAGGCAAATGTGAGGAAGTTCGTATGAGATCTGTGTGTGAGAGAGAGATGATTTCACTCTGTAGGAATGGCCAGCTGGGAGGATTTCTTCCTGAGTTTGAGAACTGGGGCAGAGCTGTAGCTTTAATAGTGACTGGCATCTTGGTGTGAAGAGTGCACCCACTAACTAACAATTACAGGCTGCCTTACAGTGACTTGAAAGGATTAAAAAATGCTGTGGCTTGTTTCCATCAGCACTTCTTGGCATTTTGCTGAGAATCGGTGAACTGGACTTGGACAAACAGAGTGGGTTTTTGTTCTGTCCCCCCCCTCCTTAACTCCATGTGGACTGCCATCTAATCTTTAGTCAGTTTCCTGTGGCTAATGACTTGTCATAAGTTGCAATTTCTTGTATAAGTAAATTCTTATTGCAGCCTTTTGTTTAATCACTATTCCCTTTTGATTGGCCTGTGTAGACACAGTTATGAGAAAGGGAGGTAGCATCTTCTAGACATGGAAATAACTGGGGGGGGTGGAGACCCATTTTTTAGCCATTTAATAAATATAGTGAGAGATCCTCTAGCTTATTAAAGTGGGAATACAGAGCCTGCCTGCGGTGGGGAGGGCGAGATAAAATTGAATAATACATAAATAAATAGAATTTCTGACTTCAGTGAATTTGTTTTTAATCATTTATAGTCCAGTCTTCCCCCAAATGGGGATCCAAAAGCGGACTACAATATTGTTTTTCCTCTCCTCCATTTTATCCTCACAACAGCAACCCTGTGACGTGGGTTAGACTGAGAGTGTGTAACTGGCCCAAGGTCACCCTGCAAGTTTTCATGGCAGGATGTGGAATCGAACCTGGTTCTCCTCCCAGATCTAACACTGGAACTACTGCACCATGCTGGCTCTTGTACCATACTGTGACCTAAAGACATAGCCTAGAATGGAATGTCCCTGCCCATTCCTTTTGACCTCACTGCTTAGGAGTGCTGCTGTTTGAGTTTTATCATAATATTTAGAGAGGGCAGCACAGGGTGGGGAATTCCTAGTGTACATAAGTTGGTACGAATCAAACGTGTGCAGCTTGAAGGGCTATGTCAGTTTGCAGATTATACCTTTCCTGAACGTTATGGCTAACACAAAGTGATGCAAGGCGCTGAGGACAAAAAACGCATTGTCTACAGATACCTAAAATGACAGAAATTGCTGGCTGGCTTCAAAAAAGCTTTTTTGCTTAATGTTCTTGTTTTGAAACATTTGAGGTACCATTTAAACAAATGGAAACCACTAATGAAAACACCTCTGTAATCAACTAGGGAAAATCATTTTGAGCAGCTCATGCCATGCTTCCACTCATGACCATCTTAAATCCTCATTTAAAAATAAAATCTCCTTCAGGAGTATCTTACTCCAAGCTTAGGATCATTCCCTTAATAGAGTTGATACCCTAACTGGGGGGGAAATGTTAAACTTCCATGGAGAAAGTGTTTCATCCCTATCTTGGTTGTCATTCTCTCCCGTTTTTGGATGCTGGCTATTTGCTGTTTGAAGACTCAGTGTTATATGCCTCTGGCTTCCTGAAAGCGGAAGGGGTAGACCCTAAATTGGGGGGAGTGGTTGTCTTCCGGAAGCCATAGAACTTAACATAGCTATCAGTTTCACAGCTAACAAATTCAGAACTAATAGGAAGAACATGTGAAATTCATTGCTACAAGAGCTTTGAAATGGCTAGTTGTATAAATGAATATACTGGATTATTGGATTATTTGACAGAAAAGTTTAGCAATTATTTTGCCATTCCCTATTCAGTTATAAATCAGTATCATGGCTAGTTTGGTGATTGCCCAGTTATCCAGCTGGTTGCATTTAGACAATAGTGCTGGCCTATATGGACATGTAGCCTTGGCAAGCTGGGCAACTCTTGATGGACACTTCTGTAAAAGTCTTGTAGGTAGCCATTGCTAGAGTAATGTATCCATTAAACTATGGCATGAGGTCTGAAGTTCTTCCACCTGCAAAATTACCCTTCTGTAGAGAGGGGTGGCTCAAGTGGTTAAGATGCTGAACTGCAGATCGGAAGGTCAGTAGTTCAGCAGTTCGAGACCCGAGTACCACATGACGGAGTGAGCTCCCATCTCTGGTCCCAGCTCCTACCAATTTAGCAGTTCGGAAGCAAGACATTGCAAGTAGATAAATAGGTACCACTTCAGTGGGAAGGTAATAGCGTTCCATGTGCCTCAGCGTCTAGTCATGCCAGCCACATAACCACGGAAACGTCTTTGGACAGCGCTGGCTCTTCAGCTTGGGAACGGAGATGAGCACTGCATCCCTAGAGTTGGATTCGACTGGCTCTCGAGCAAGGGAAACCTTTACCTTTACTTGGGGGGGCAGTTTTCATTGACTCCCCCATCCTACTGTCCCCTTTGTCTTTCTGTAGCATTCCTGAAAACCCCTTAACCTCCAGAGGTAGCATTTTGGGGATGATAGTGGGCTGTAGGAGGATGAGGAAGATAAGAAAGACCTGTTCTAAGCAGTCCTTTAGCACACAGGGTTGCTTCCATAGTCAGCATAACTGGTATAGCTCATTTATAGCAAGTCTAGTTTTCTGGTCCATTGGTACAGCTACTGTTTTGTGAAATATTGCCTTTGGGTGACCAGGCAAAGAAGTCTTTTCCAAATCGGATGGGACTTGGTTCTTTTGATCTGATATACTCAATGTAGCACTATCAGGTTACCAGTTACATACTTTTTGGTGGACCTGTTTAATCAATTAAGTACAGACAATCTGTACACTGTTTGCCCAGATACCAGCCACCCCTCTTTCTGTTCTCCTGGCTTCTAGGGCCTTGACTGGATTCATCCGAGGAGGCTCAAACATACAGTATAAAAGGTCATTGTGGGAAAATGACTTCTAATTAGCAGCTGCATAGCGAGTTTTTTCTCCTTCAGTGATCTGAAGCCAAAACCTACACATGGAAAATAAATAAATAAAAGCTTTAAAGCTCAGGAACTCATTAATCCCATTGTCACTGGTTCTGTTTTTCCTCCTTTGCAGATGTTCAGGCAGTGGCTTATGAAGAGCCAAAACACTGGTGCTCTATTGTCTACTATGAGCTCAACAATCGTGTTGGAGAAGCATTTCATGCCTCTTCTACAAGTGTGCTGGTGGATGGCTTCACTGATCCTTCCAACAACAAGAACAGGTTTTGCCTAGGGCTGCTTTCTAATGTTAACCGGAATTCTACTATCGAGAACACCAGAAGGCATATTGGCAAAGGTACTGTTGGTTTCGTTTACATTTGACTGCGGAGGGTGTAGGGGGTGTAGGTTGGGTTTATTGCCAGTTCATTGCATTTATTGAGAAACAAAGTACTCAATCTGAGTGCCTGTCTACCTTCTGCAAGAAATTGCTGTTTATAGCTGCCAAGTACTAGGCTAATAGTTAGGAGCATGGCTTGCTATAGAGCTTCAAACTGAGTAGTATCTTTAAAGTATTCTTGAAAAGGACTCATTTATGGTCCAGGAAGTAGACTGCAGAACATTTAGGGTTAAATTAATTATTGGCCTTAACATAATTACAGGAATATGAATGTAGCTTGGGAAATAGCAGGAAGCCTTTCCTCCCTCCTTTTGTGAAGGAGGAAAGTTGGAATCTCCCACTGCCTTAGTTACAACTAATCCCAAATTTAAAAAAAAACCACTGAAATTTGGAATAAGCAAGGAGGTTTCATCTGAATTGCCAGAGTCATGGTGCTGGCCCCTATATTAAAGATTTAAGTCATTGGCAATTGTCTGGCAATGGGGATGTCCTGTGTTCCTCACTTTATGGAGATGGGTGGCAAGTATAGCCACTATCTTTCCAAACCAAATATCTTGGTGTTCAAAAGTTCGCTGGCTGCTTCCACTTTAAAAACATACCTATTTGAGAACCAAAGTTGCTTCCGATCACCCTGTAGTACAGTTTTATTTTTAGGAGCCAGGTATGAGCAAGGAAGAACACCTATCTGTTTCCAGGATATGATGGCAGTTTTCACTGCAAAGAACAGTTATTCTTCCTGGGGTGTGTACAAAATAAAAATGGAGGAACCATCTACAGATGGTGCTTTCAGGACACTAAACTCTTTCAGTGCACATAATGTATTTCTAGTAGAGCTTCAGTTTGTAGCACCATGTAATGGATAAGACATTTAGATATGCAGTATGCTCAGTTTCCTTGCACAAAGACACCTTTATTTTAAATATGGTTATTGTGCGTTGCTTCATTGTTTTCGAAATAAGTGTGGCACTCATTTAACTATTCCAAACAAATTCTTCAGTACCGCCTCAGAAGATTTAAGGCAGAGCTGAAAAATTAGGCTACAGGAAGAAGGAAATTGCTCTGTATGTGTTTTCCTTGGCCCTAGCCAGTAGGTATTTGGGTCAAATAGACTTTATGAGATTTATGCGGATGTGGCTCCTACCTTCTTGGCTATCACAGGTGGACATCAGATGCAGAAACAATTGCATCCCCAAAAACAGAAATCATATTAACACTGAAAATTCCTGAAGTCTAACATTGCAGCTTGTACATAACTGACTCATGTTAGCTGTTCAGGTAAAATGACATTTACCCATCACTGCAGGGAAGACAGACTTTCCTCCTTAGCCTATTGCACCAGAAGTATGGCCACTTGGTTCGTTGCTGATTTGAACTCTGCTTCCCTTTCCACCCCAACAAGGTACCTCACCATCATAAGGCTAACAAATCTTCTGTCTTCTGTAGGTGTTCACCTGTATTATGTTGGTGGAGAAGTTTATGCAGAGTGCCTTAGTGACAGCAGTATTTTTGTGCAAAGTCGAAACTGCAATTACCACCATGGCTTCCACCCAACCACAGTTTGTAAAATTCCAAGTGGCTGCAGTTTGAAAATCTTCAACAATCAAGAGTTTGCTCAACTTCTGGCCCAGTCAGTGAATCATGGCTTTGAAACAGTGTATGAACTCACAAAGATGTGCACTATTCGTATGAGCTTTGTAAAAGTAAGTGAGACTTCTTCATGTAGGTGTCCTCCTTTGCTATATGCAAAGGATCAAATGAGTGGTTTCAGTTGACTGCGTTGCATTTCTGGCCTTTCTATTAGTATGCATTGGAGTGGGTCACTAACTAGGGATTGGGACGAACCAAAAAAATCTGGTTTGAGGCAGTCCCGAACCAAACCCCAAACCGAACAAAAAATGCCCAAACCAAACTGGCCTGTTTAGGTCTCCCTTTTTCCTGGCCAGAGCAAGAGAATGGTGGAGGCTGGTACACCCCTCTGCTGTTTCGCTTCCCCCTGCTTCAAAGCGGGGGGGGGGGGTGGGCCTAAATGGATCGCTGAAATGACTTGCAGGCATTTAAACTTAACAGCGGGCGGTTTTAAATGGCCCGGAAAGCCAAACTGAATTGGGCAAAAGCTTGGCAAATGTTTCTGGAAGACTCTGAACCGGTGCCGGATTTTGGCTCATGACCTGGTTCATGCCCATCCCTATTATTTACCATAAAAGTGACTCATAGGTAAAATTCAGGCAAAAGAACTTCCTGAAAAATGAACTAGGGATCCCCAAAAGTCTGTCCAAAGTAATCACCCCAGAGAAGGGCCTCTGAAATTCATTCCTTCATAGGCCTGTCACCAAACTCTTTCCGGCTTTATTGATCAAAGAACAATTTGAATGGGGTATTTTGTACTCAACCTTTCCACCCACTATTGTATGTACAGATTTGAAATGTTAATATAAAAATTCCTTGGGAGTTCACAGTACAAGATAATTGGCATCCAAAAACCTACTAAGTTTAAAAGGTGGTTTATTGTTTGTTTTTGTCATTCTTTCTTGTTTTAAATACAGGAAAACTGGGGTGCCAAGCAGCAGAAACTGCTCCTATTAGCGGCTTTGCTGAAAGACTTGGGGTTAGGGAGACATCAGAAAACTTTGTGGTGGTCCTTGGGCAGCTTTGCTGCTATCTCTCATGGGGAATTTCACCTGGAAACAGAGTGGAAGCCAAACTGGCAAACTATGTACTTAAGCACTATCTTCCAGTTACTTAATCTGCCATGTTCTAGCCCAGTTGTTGTTCCTAAGAAGGTCTTCCAAAATAGCCCCACGGAGAGCATATTGCCATAGTCAGATCTGGATTTTACTTGGGCATAGATAAAGGAGGCTGTCCACTTCCAAGCATTAAATTTTCTAGCACAGGATTGTCTGAATTTGATCAACCTGTAATTGCCTTTACACTTATACAGGAAATGAGGCACATGTGGCAAGATGCGTAGATGTAACATGACCTGCCTTGCAGGTCAGGAACATTGCCACCCTTGCTGCTTTTAGAAAAGCCTGCGAGGTGGTGCTTTTAAAAGAAAATTTTATGGTTAATGGCAGCTGGAGTCAATTTTGTGGTGTTTTTGTCTGTTGATGATGTGCTTTGTGTGTGTGTGCGTGTTCTTTTTAAGCTGCTCTGGGCCCACTGTGGCATGGGGAGGAAGGCAGGCTAGAAATAATTAAATCAGATATGGTCTTCTCTGTTTTTTAGGGTTGGGGAGCAGAATATCACCGGCAAGATGTCACAAGTACACCCTGCTGGATTGAGATACATTTGCATGGTCCCCTTCAGTGGCTGGATAAAGTCCTTACCCAGATGGGCTCTCCTCATAACCCAATCTCTTCTGTGTCTTAAAGGATTCTGAGCAGCTACACTCTGGAAACTATTGAGCCTTGCATGTACTTGAAGGATGTATGAGTCAGACACATGTACAAAACTGGCAGCAGCCTTTATCATACTTGACGTCTGTGACCAACTGTTAGATCAGGAAAAAAATGCCGATAATAAGTTGTTGGTATCAAGATTTTTAGTTTACATAGTAATAATTCTCTTGCAGATCTTTTCTGCAGGGCAGCGTGTAATAGTTAGGGATGACCAAGTCAGTGTAATCTACGCACTGTTCTCAAGCTCATATGTGCACACACAATGATTCCACTTTATGGTGGACATCTGTGATATTGTGTGTATGTATTCTAGAATGAGTACAAAGTTACTCTTTTCTAAGAAGCTTTCTACACTATTTGAAACTCACTGGTTTAGGTAATAGTTGCTGTCCTCTGAAAGATTTAAGGCTTCTGTGTAATCTTCTGAAATTGTGTACTGACCATACTGCTGCAAGAATTTTTGGGTATGCTCTTTGCTAAATGTATGTACAGTGTATTTGGAAGTTAGAGATGGGGTAGCCTAAAGAAAGTAGGTAGATAGTTGAGGGAGGTGGGTGGGCAGGGGAGCTGACAAGGACCGGTAGAATAATACTGTAAGCATAGCTTGTTAAACAAGTCCAAGTCTTTGCTGTGTGCATTTCATTTTTATAGTGGCTTCACCTTACTAACTGATCTATTTCTGCCCATGCACAGCTTCTTAGATCAGGGGCAAGTAAATAAATCTTAGTCATGTACCGCAAGGTCTGTATATTTCAAGACAAGCTGTACAGCCTTTTGGGATTGGGCAGTCATATGCAGTTTGCATAACAAAAGTAGCTGTTTCATTTTGTAAGAGCTTTGTGTTTTGCCAGCATAGCAGATGTTGGCACATGCTGGGAGGACTTAAAAAAATACAAACCTATTCAAGTGTTTCAGACGTAAAGGTTAATTTTTTACCATTTTAATTGTTTTCTTTCTGCTAATGTTTTATATTCATTCAAGCTGTAGTACTTTTTCAGTATTTTTTAATTCCAAAACTTAGTGGTTCATCTCTACTGGAAGTTCAAATAAACATATTGCTTACTTTGATTAAAACTGTATCTTGTGAATTTCTTGCCAGCCAGATTTTGTAAGAATTTGTAAAAATACTTGTTGGAGACAGGATGGATTTTTGGTAAATATTTCTATGGGAGGGAGAGAATTTCTAACAAGGTGCATAAAAAGAACCTTGCTGGAACAGATCATCTGGTCCAGCCTCCTGTTTCACACAGTGGCTAACCAGTTGCCCTGAAAGGCCAACATACAGGAGGCCAAGGCCTTCCTTCCTTTATATTGCCTCCTAGCACTGGTATTCAGAATTCACTGCATGTGGTCCCCTTCACCAACCATTAAAGCCTAGTAGTAGTAGCTAGTAGTCATTGATGGGCCTTTCCTCTATGAATCTAACACTCTTTTAAAGCCACTTATTCATAGTCACCTTAAGGACATGGGCCTTATTCAGTCATGACTAACGTACAATCTTCCATCAGTATGGAAGATAGAGCAATGCCAAACACTCTCTTTTCCCCTTAAAAACCACAGGTGCTCTATCTAATATTGATGAGTTTATTGGGAAATGGATCTCTAAACATTTCCCAGAGCTGTTACTTGTGTTCATTTTCTCAAATCACATTCTTTCTAGCACATGGTGTGGAAGGGCTTGCAGCTCTGTGGCCCCAAGTTACCTGCTATAAATTAAGTGTGTGTTCAGTAACTTATCTGCTCTCAGAGCAGTGAAGGGGAAGTATGTTCTTCATTCATTTCCACATGTTTCCATCTTATAAAAATACAATCATCCTCTTAATCAAATAGATGCAATAGCTCAGGGTTGGCTGGAGTTGATGGTACTACCTTAAATGTATATCTCAAGGCATCTGGCAGATACACCTCCCTATAGGAATACATCAGATTCTCAGAACTTACTTTCTTAATGTATGTTTTATCCTTCTTGTGAAGAATTGCTTTTTAATTTAAAACATTTCTATACCGGCTTCACACTCAATTCAGGGTCTAAGGCAGCAAACACTAAAACATTGGAGACAATGAAAAGCATTTAAAATGTGTGTATATACATAAAATCTTTAAATTAAAAAATAAAACACACACAAACAGAGAGGAGGGCTAATAAGTTAGTGAGGGAGCACCAAAAAAAGTCTTCACCCACTGGCAGAAGACAACAACAGAGGGAGACAGACAAATCTCCCTTGGGAGGGAGCTCCAAAGTTTTCACATCCCAACCAAGAAGGCCCTTCTTCAGGTTGCCGCTCATCCAGGATCAGCTGATAGGGGCACCTGAAGCAGGGCTTCCAAAGATGGCAGGAGTAGTTGGGTAGATTCATATGGGAGTAGGTGGGTCTGTCAGGTACACATGAGCGCATCATAGCATTGGCTACTCAGACTGGCAGTGACTCTCCAGGGTTTCAGGTGGAGGTCTTAAACATCACCTATCTTATCTGTAATTGGGGATGCCGAGGATTAAACTAGAAGCCAGCATGCCAAGCAGATACTCTACACTGAGCCATGGCCCTTCCCAGGTACGCTGGCCCCAAGCAGTATAGGGTTTTAAAGCACCTTGAACTGGGCCTAGAAGCCAAGGCTATGAACCTACTTTATGGGGGGAGTACAACTCCATCTAGAACAAGATATACATCAACTCCCAACTCCAGCATAGCACCTTCATTGTGTCAGGATTAAGTTTCAGCTTGTCAGCCCTTGTTGGCCTCCAGGCACCTGTTCACGGTTTCAAACAGCCTTCTTGGGATCTGCTGGAAGCGCAAGATGGAGCTGATCATTATCCACATACTGGGTTTGTATGTTTCTAGGATAGATGGGAATTTTGGAAGAAATATGATATGAAACCACCTTAAATTCCAAAGTGGTATACTCTTGACCGAAGAATGGTACACTCCTATCTGGGATGATCATCCTCTTTGACTGAGCATGCAGCTTCAGGAGGGATGCACATGGAGCGGTGAGGGAGGTAGGGGACACCTGCCTAGCCAGCCAGATCAGCCGAGTCAACCCTAGCAATCAGTGGGGGTGACAGATGTTGCAGCCAGATCACCCTCACATCCAAATTCCAAAGTCCTATTTTGGATAACTCTTAAAAATGCTATTATCTACTAGATGTACATCCATTATATCCAAATCAAATGAAGCCTAACATTGAATTTGTAAACTATTCTGCTGGACCAGTGTTTCTCAAACTGGGTTTTTTGAGCACACTGCCAGTGATCCTGTCATGATCTAGGCTGTGCAAGTAAAGGCCTAGCAGGCCCAGGAACCCTGAGTAGCAGTGGGGGGAGGCCAGGATTACAACTCCCAGAAGTCCCTGAGAGGTTTTGGCGCCAAGTTTAGCCAATCACAGAGAAAAGGGACTTACAATAAAAGACCGGCATTTAGTCATGCCGGCCTCATGACCATGGAAACGTCTTTGGACAGTGCTGGCTTTTTGGCTTGGAAACGGAGATGAGCACCACAACCCTAGAGTCAGATTCAACTGGCTTTCGAGCAAGGGAAACCTTTACCTTACAGAGGAAGAGCTGTTCTTTCTTCCAAGAGAGCAGGTCCAGAGGGAAGGCTGCTGCTGGGAGAGACCCTCACCCTGAGAGGAAGGTCCAACTGAGACAGTGAGCTAAGGACTGTGAGTCTAGTCATGTTAAGGCATTTGGTTTCTTTTCACCCACTTATTGCTATTGTTCTTGCACCTTGTTTGTTTCCCATATTGGGCTGACCTCTTATAAAAATAAACCTTTTATTTGTTGTTTACTCTGCCTGGTCCTCACACCTATTATTTGGCCAAATAAGGGAGGTCTGAAGGTCTTGGGAGAGTGCTCTGGGCCTTCTCCCTCTGAGGTGGAGGACATCTCCACAGGTTATTCCCACCGTGCCTTTAGGGAGGCAGGAAATAGTTTTTCCCCTTCCTGTTGGTGCCTCCAGAATAGCCCATCTCCAGTTCTGTTCCTGCCTCACTAGGGAGAAGCAGCACAGTCTAGCTAGTCCTAGCTGTACTCTAAAGAACCTATCTTAATTTTCTCTTTTTTCAAAGCCTTTGACTTGCCTGTTTCACCTCTTCTTCCTCTACTCTCCTTCCTCTTCTCTTCTGCTCCGATCTTGGAGTGAAGACTTCAGGGGTCTGTTGACCTGAAGAGAAGTTTACCAGCCACTATGGTGGCAAAAGAGCTTCCCGAGGTTTTTCCCTCAGGCGACGAGGGAGAGGCGCGTGCCACGACGGTGGCAGCGCGGGAAGACGTTGGGGCCGATCAGCCTTCGCGGTTTGATCGTGCGCCCCCAACATTGGCTGGTGGAGTGGCGGTGGCAGCACAGAGTGCCCAGCCTGAAGAGCACCATCGGCAGCCTGAAGAGGATGAGCCCGCCATTTTACATGTGCGCCTTTGGCGGCCATCTTGGGGATCTGGCTTCGAGCCTCAGACCTCTGCCGGGGCGATCTTGGGAGCCACACGGACTGAAGGAGGACGTCTCTCCACCTCTCCAGTCCTGTTGCAGCTAGATCAAGGCAGCGCACAGACGGGTAAGCCCCAGGAACAGGGGGTCTTGATTGATTCCTCTGAGCTGATGGAGTTTATTAGGCAGTCTATCCATCAGGAAATGGCCCAATTAAATACCAGACCCAAGGTTCCACTACAGGAGGAGGCTCAGCATCCGAGTCCTCCAGTGACTTTCCCCTCCGGCTAGCCCACCAAGGCAGCAAAAAAGGCTCCCCCCCCCTAAGAGACCTGCAGAGGAACAATGGGGGGAGGAGTTAGAATCCAATGCCTCTTCCATTGAAGATAGGGAAGAGGGTGAGTTTTTATCTGAGGGCGAGGACGAGGAACTGAAGCTTCCTGAACAGTCCAGTAGATTTTTTAAATTTGAGGACTATCAATACCTCTTATCTAAGGCGGTTAAGGCTCTAGAGCTGCATGATGTACCTGCTTCTGAATATCAGAAGGCAGCCAGAGCTAAGTTTAAATCCAAATCAGGTGGCAACCGGGAGTTCTTTCCTCCTGAGGAGTGCATGGAGAAGGGGCTTCCCTTTCCAGAGTACTTCGAACACCAATTAAGATCTGGTTGGGACAAGCCTGTGGTTAACAAGCAGCTTCCCGCTTTCACCAAAAAATTGTATGCTATGCCTAATTATGCTGATTTGTTACAGGTTTCGCCTGTGGATGCTCCTGTAGCTGCACTCCAGACTGCGGGCTTAGTCTCTGAGGATGGACTAGGCAACCTCAAGGAAGATACTGATAAGAAGCTTGAAGCAACTCTTTGTAGAATTCACGAGTCCATTGCCATGATGGTCAGAGCGGCATCTACAGCTTCCATCGCTGCCAGGGCATCCATAGTCTAGCTGAGGAAACTTGTTCAGCTCATCCCAGAAAACAACCGGGCATTACTGGAAGGAATTTCCCACACTCTCAAGTCTGATTCCTTCACAGCTGATGCTACCTTGGACATTATTTCCTTTGCTTCCAGGGGCCTGACTTCTACGGCTGTAGCCAGGAGAATGCTTTGGCTGCATGCTTGGCAGGTGGACGCACTCTCCAAATCCATCATTACCACCTATCCCTTCCAGGGGGATCATCTGTTTGGTGAGGCACTAGACAACATTCTGGTGGAAACCAGGGATAAGAAAAAAGCCATGCCTAGATCCCTGAGACGCACGGACAGACGCAACCCTCAATCCTTTCGTTCCCATCACTCCCTGCCACGTTTTTGTCAGGACATCAAAAAGCCTTCATGGGACTCGAACAAACAGTCCAGCAAGCGTGGTTCATTCAGTCTTCGATTCCACAGGACCCAGTTCAACAGGAACGATAGAGGAGACAGAGAGGCCAAGCCCAAACAGAATTGACTATGCCTTACTGCCGGTAGGGGCACGACTTCTCCATTTCGCCAGGACTTGGATGCCTAGGCAGTGGAAGTCGTGTCCCAGGGATACTCAATAACATTTCTTCATCAGCCTCCAGAGAGATTCCTGCAATTACC